TAATTAAATATGAATAAAATCTTAAACAAATGTGAGATTTTAAGAATTTAAAAAAAATGTTCAGTTCTGCGTGGCATTTTAACTGCGACTGTTATAATATGGTTTGCTTTTACTGCAATAAAATACATATATTTGTATTCAGTGATGTCTCATGAGTACACGTTTTATAGGATTTTTGAAAGTCACAGGGTCAAACATAGCACATTACATTTTTCAGTTTATACACATTGAAATTTGTTAGATTGTTTTTTTTTGCCTTCGAGACCATATGGAAGCCCAGGAATGAGAATTACCCCTATGTTGGCATACCACTTTCAAAAGTATACAACCCAAGGTATTGCAAATGGGGTATTTCCAGCCTCTTTTAGTAGCCAGTTAGTCAAAAACACTGGTCAAAGTTAGAATTTATATTTGTGTGTTAAAAAAATATGAATGCTAATTTTGGTCAGTGTTTGTGACTAAGGGCTTCTAAAAAAGACTGGACGTACCCCATTTCCAATACCTTAAGTTGTCTACTTTTGTAAATAGTATGCCATCATGGGGGTAATTATCATTCCTGGGCTACCACATGGTCTGAAAGGCAACCTAATCAATCTTGCAAATTTTAATGTGAAAAAACTGAAATGCAAGCCTTATATTTGACCGTGTAACTTTTGAAAACACCAAAAAGCCTGTATATGGGGGTATTGTTATACTCAGGAGACTTTGCTGAACACAAATATTAGTTTTTCAAAATAAAGTAAAATGTATCACAACAATATCATCAGTGAAATTTCAGTTTGTGTGGGAAAAAATCCCAAATAATGGCACTTTCACTGACAATATAATCGTTGTGATATGTTTTATTGTTTTAAAACACTAATAGTTGTGTTCAGGGAAGTATCTTGAGTATAAATGTACCCCCCATGTGAAGATGTTATGGTGTCTTGGAAAGTTACACCATAATAAAATACCAGGATAAAATAGCTAAAGCTTTTGAAGAATATTATAGAAGCCTATATAGCATCAATCTTAAGTAACCATTACAGAATGCCGAACTGTACTGTCAAGAGAAGGAATGAAAAAAAAAAAAAATCCTGTACAATTAAAAAAACTTTGAAAAAAAAATTAACCCTTCTCATTAGAACTGATTATAGACATAATTGACCATTCAAAACCCAATAAAGCACCGGGTCCTGGTAGTCTGACAGCTAAGTTCTATAAGTCATTCAAAAAAGAAATTACCCCCTATCTGCAGATCACTTTTAATGAGATTGCGAAAAAAGGAGACCTTCTGGAAGATCTATTAAGAGGGAACAATGTTACTATTCTACAGCAAGAGAAAAACACTTGGGAGGTAACAAGCTACAGGCCAATCTCTCTGCTGAATGAAGATTTAAAATTATATGCTGGCATAACGGCAAACAGACTTAAATCTGTTATAAACAACCTAATCTATAATGATCAGATGCGATTCATCCCAGGAAGATTATCAGCAAGTCATATACGAACACTGTCAAATATTTTTGAGATCGCAAGGCATAAAAGGACACCGATGCTGGCCCTTTCTTCAGATGCTGAGAAAGCATTTGACAGGGTCAGCTTGGATTTCCTTTCAAATACCTTAAAAGCTTTTGCCTTTATGGGCAGTTTCTATCAAGCTTTAATGGCTTTATACTCAAACCCTATGGGGAAAGTAATAGGCCAGGGCATATAATCTAACACCTTTAAATTATATAATGGCACTAGACAAGGCTGTCCAATTTCCCCCTTCTTTATGTTTTAACTATTGAGATACTGGCATTAAAGATAAGAAATAACAATAAAATAAGAGGATTTAAGGATACAGTAGAATTAAAGATAAAGGTATATGCTCATTTTGTTGGAAGACCCAGTAAATTAAATTAATGAACTAATGAAGGTGATACATGGTACAGTCATTTCTCGAACTATAAATTAAACACATCCAAAACGATGGCTCTTTCTCTTTTTTTAACACTGCAGATGAAAAGAGTGATTGTGGAAAAGTTTGATTTCCTTTGGGCAAAGTCCCTATATGGGATTAAAAATCTTAACCAATCCCCAAAAAGGGATAGAGATAAATTTGCACCCCCCAAAGAAATAAATATCATGGTGGCGTAAGATAAACACTATAAAAGCATATATTCTACCTAAAATCTCTATATTTTGAGTCTAATTCCTTGTGATATCCATCAAGGTTGGATCAAGCTATTACAATCTTTACTAAATTTATATGGGCAAAAAAAAAAGAACGAGAATTAGTGCTAAACGATTGATTAAAAAAAAAAAATTAAAAGATGTAGGTCTAGGAATTCCATCTTTGTCAAGATTGGTTCAGGCTACTTTTTTAACCCATGCTATACATACTTTCCAGGATTCATCTAAAGAGGAAAGTTGGTATCAATTTAAAGCAGGGAGAATTGGTCCCTACAGAAACATCTCCTACATTTTCTGGCTGTCAACCCAAGAAATTAGAAGGCTAAACCTTTATGGAGATACTTTTTCTTTAAATCAGATACTGCAGAATTGGTTCAAAATAAAAAGAAAATTAGACATAGACAAAAGAATATTTTCCCTTCTCTTAGAATCAAATTATTTTTTACTTATTACTAGAGTTGAGCGAACCGGACTGTAAAGTTCGGGTTCTTATTGAACGTTAAGGTTTTTGGACCCCGAACCTGAACATGGACATATTAGTGTATGTTCGGGTTGGAGTTCGGTGTTTGGCGATTTAATGGCACGTTTTGAAAGGCTGCAGGGCAGCCAATCAACAAGCGTTTGACTTGTGTGCCCTTAGAAGCCATCGCAGCCATGCCTACTAATGGCATGGCTGTGATTGGCCAGTGCAGCATGTGACCCAGCCTCTATATATAAGCTTGAGTCGCGTAGCGCCGCACGCACATGAGCTCTTATTAGTGTAGGGAGAGGATGCTGCCACTTTCAGAAACAGCTTAGGAAATAATTCTGCAAACTAGTACAATAGTACATTAGTGGGGTGCACTTCATATCTGAGAGTCAAATAGAAGCGTCAAATAATGCAGTTACCTCAGAATTTTAAAAAGTCAATTTTTTTGGTGTTAAATAGTACATTTGGGGTGTGCACTTCATATCTGAGAGTCAAATAGAAGCGTCACATACTGCTGTCACATTGCAGTTTTAAAACTTAAAATGTTTTGGGTGCTAAAAAGTACATTAGTGGGGTGCACTTCATATCTGAGAGTCAAATAGAAGCGTCAAATACTGCTGTCACATTGCAGTTTTAAAACTTAACATTTTTTAGGTGCTAAAAAGTACATTAGTTGGGTGCACTTCATATCTGAGAGTCAAATAGAAGCGTCAATTACTGCGGTTACAGCGCAGTTGTAAAAATTCTAATTGTTTTGCTGCTAAATTGCTAAATAGTAAATTTGGGACGTGTTCTTCATATCTGAGAGTCAAATAGAAGCGTCAAATAGTGCGGTTACAGCACAATTGTAAACATTCCTTTTTTTTGGGTGCTAATCTGCTAAATAGTACATTAGTGGGATGTTCTTCATATCTGAGAGTCAAATGGAAGTGTCAAATAGTGCGGTTACAGCGCAGTTGTAAAAATTCTAATTGTTTTGCTGCTAAACTGGTAAATAGTAAATTTGGGGCTTGCTCTTCATATCTGTGAGTCAAATAGAAGCTTCAAATAGTGCGGTTACAGCACAATTGTAAACATTCTTATTTTCTGGGTGCTAATCTGCTAAATAGTACATTAGTGGGGTGCACTTCATATCTGAGAGTCAAATAGAAGCGTCAAATAGTGTGATTACAGCGCAATTGTAAACATTCTTATTTCCTGGGTGCTAATCTGCTAAATAGTAAATTTGGGGCGTGCTCTTCATATCTGAGAGTCAAATAGAAGCGTCAAATAGTGCGGTTACAGCGCAATTGTAAACATTTTTATTTTCTGGGTGCTAATCTGCTAAATAGTACATTAGCGAGGTGCTCTTCATATCTGAGAGTCAAATAGAAGCGTCAAACACTGTGCTTACAGCGCACTTTGAAAAATTAAAATTGTTTTGGGTGCTAAATAGTACATTTGGGGTGTGCACTTCATATCTGAGAGTCAAATAGAACCGTCAAATACCAATATAACAATATTGTAATTCGGTGGCAATACCCTCACAAGTCAAACTGAGACGTCAGTTTACAGGGAAAACTGTTGCATGGATACAATTCTAAAACAATTCCCATATGTCCTTTGCAGAGTTTACATGCTGGAAAAACACAGGGGCCAACTGCTGTGGCTTTCTGCAGTGTGCAGACCAGCAAGGAGGGCAGGATTGAGGAGTGGGTGGAAGATGATGTGGAGGATGATGAGGTCCAAGACCCCAAATGGAATCAAGGTCATGCGAGTGACGTGTGCAGTTTGGAGGAAGAGGTACTGGTCGTACAGAGGAACCAGCACAGCATAAGAGGGAGCAGAGTGCAAAGGCGGAGCGGGCGTCCTCTAGCGCTCGTCAGCATTTATTAGCTCGAGAATAACCAGTTATCCAAGTATGCCTGATGTTGAAGTTAGGAGTCACAGTGTGAAATGGATTAGCAGGGTCTGGTGCAAGGTAACTGCACACCCCCTGGTGTTGAGCACCAGCGTTTGTGCGGTCACATACCAGGACCCTGATGCAGCCATCACAAGACTGATCCGCAACTTGGACCAGGATGTGACATTAACAGTAGCGGCTGTGCGCTTTTGGCGTTCTCACCCTGCTGTTGCTCGCCTGTCTGTGCTGCAGCTTAACTTTGGCCTTCCCGCTCACCGCCTCATATGCGTCGTGCCCACAAGGTGGAACTCCACCTTGCACATGCTGGAGAGACTGTGCGAGCAGCAGCAGGTGATGGTGGAGTTTCAGCTGCAGCACACACGGGTCAGTCACTCTGCACCAGACTTGCCCTCCAATTGATCATAGTTAAAGGATTTCAAGTGGACTCATTATAATTACAGGGCCTCTAAAGAGTCCTGTATTGTTATTTGTCATGACTACCTCCCCGCGTCGGGAGTGGGTAATTTGCGCGCCTGCTGCCTTCCTTGGATGATGTAGCTGTTTCTTATGTTCCCTCTCTGGAATCCAACCCTGATTCCCTGTTACCCATTTTCCGTGGTAGGTGCAGAAAATGGCATCAAAGGTTGATAGGGCAGACATCGGAATGCAAAGTCGCCGTCACAGGGACGTGCGATTGGCCCGAGGTTCTCTAGAGTCAACAAAGAGCCTGGACAGAAGAAGCTGTGGGTGAGCCGAAACGCTGTCCGGCTCCTATCTGAATGACCTGCCAAGGGGATATCATGAGCTAGCTTCAGCAGCTCTTACCAGTACTTCTTGTGTCTGGGGCTGGCGGTCTCTCACCAGCCGTGTTGTTGGGGAGCCCATTGAAAAAGTGCTCTAGCATGACAAGCTGGGTGATCTCCTCCGGGAACTTGGCTTGATGGGAGTTGAGCCAGTTCTGGGTGGCCCTTGTGATGCGGCATGCCCACTCCGCATGGGAGTCCTTCTCCCCTTTCCGGGTCTCCCTAAACTTTCGGCGGTATTGCTCGGGGGTGATCGCATACCGGGCCAGGAGGATTTGTGTAATAAAGGGATAGTCTCTGATCTGCTCTTCTGGTACAGCCCGGTAAATATCCGCTGCCTTCTCCACTAGTTTGCTGGCCAGGATGGTGACCCAGTCGCTGGGGTCCGCGTCTTGGAGTAGGCACTGGCGCTCAAAGTCTTGGAAAAAGTCATTGATGCTTTCTTCTGCTTCATTGAACTCTTTGAAGGCATTGTATGGTAGCTTGTGGGCCAGAGTGATTGTGCTTCCCGGCGCCCTCTGCTCCCTTCTTCTTTCATCTGGGTTCATGGAGGTCGCCCTCTGTCTATTGGCAAGGACATAGGCTTGCACCTCCAAAATGGTCCTGCTGACAATCTCCTCTGAGGGTGGCTCTCAGTAATATGTCAGGCGCCGTTCCACCTCCTTGCACTCTTGCTCCTCATCTCCGGCCCCTGGCTGGGGTTTGTTGCCTCACTGCGTGCCTCCTCCTCTACCACCTCCTTGTCCGGTCAGCGTAACACCTTCACCACCAACTTCAGCACAGCCAGGGGGAAATGACAGCAGGCTGTTTTAAAACTCATATGTTTTGGGGAAAAACCCCACACTACGCAGGAGCTGTGGACGGGCATGTAACAACAGACCGATGAGTGGTTGTTGCCTCTGAGCCTCAAGCCCGGCCTAGTGGTGTGCGATAATAGGCGAAATCTCGTAGCAACTTTGGGGTTAGCCGGTTTGACGCACATCCCTTGCCTGGCGCATGTGCTGAATCTGGTGGTGCAGAAATTCCTGAAAAACTACCGAGATATATCAGAGCTGCTGCAGAAAGTGCAGGCAGTCTGTGCGCACTTTCGGCATCCTCACCCTGCTGCTGCTCGCATGTCTGCGCTGCAGCGTAACTTCAGCCTTCCCACTCACCACCTCATGAGATTGTGCGAGCAGCAGCAGGCAATAGTGGAGTTTCAGCTGCAGCAGGCACGGGTCAGTCGCTCTGCAGAACAGAGTTTTCTTTTTTTATATGTTCCAATATTTTGGGAGCTACCACAATTAAAAAAATAAATAAATAAATAAACAGTGTTGGCTACCTCCTCCTCCTCCACCACCGCTTCCACCTACACCACCACGGTCACGCCTCCTCAACCTATGGGTCACTTAGTATAAACTATGTACACAATAGCAGAGGCATGTGAAGGCTTTTTCTCCATGCATCAGGAGTTGAGCACAGTTTGAACAATGAAAGAGAATACCCTGTACCCTCTCTCAAATGGATAATTCTGGTGATCCTCCTGACAGCCATGCTTTAGATTTTGATTTATGTTCTTCCAAAGCTAAAATCAAAGATTCCATCTAGTGCTATTTTATGGCCCAGCTGTATTTTTAATTTTTATGTATTTTATGTTATTTTAAGTGATTTCCCTATCCACATTTGTTTGCAGGGCACTTGTCCTACTCCTACCCCCATCATTTTACTTCCTTTTGCAGCCCTCAAGCCCTTTCCAGGACTTTTTTAGAGGCATTTTTGTGCCCAAAAGTTCAGGTCCCCATTGACTTCAATGGGGTCGAGTTCGGGGTCAAGTTCAAGACCGAACCCGGACTTTTTCAAGCCCGAACCCGCCGGACCCGAACATCCAGGTGTCTACTCAACTCTACTTATTACCTGGTACTAACTTAATCTCATGGTCTGGAAAAGATATCAAAACCATTGAAGATATAATTATATCAGGAAAAGTTAGAAATGTTATTGATTTACAAAAGACATCAGGCCTCACGTTTAAAGATTTCTTTGATTGTATGAAAGTTCTTATATAATAAAAAGATTAACACCAATCTACGAGGAGAATGTAAAATACTTTGAACAAATCATCAATCTAACTGACACTAAAAAAATTTATTTCTAAAGCTAATTCCCCGCTAAATCGTAAAGAAGGTTTTTCCAAAAGCTATAGAGAAATGGAGTAGAAATCTGGGCTTGCAAATCCCATATAAAGAATGGAATAGATCATTTTTGGTTGTAAATAAAAACCTGCATTGTCTGAACTTGAATGAACTATACATTACAAAATGTTAACTAGATGGATGGGACGCTGACCATCTAGATATATGGTGGGAATGCCCGATCAAGAATTATGGCAAGATGTAGGTAGAAGGATAAATAAAAAAATAAATACAAAGATACCAATTAGAGCTGAATCTTTTACATATTAATCTACCTAGTATGAAGAATAAATAACTGATTTTGTTACTACATAAAAATTGGAATAGTCCAGCTAAACCTGACTGGTGCCTAATTAAATATCAAATATGTTACCAACTGGATATGGAAAAATATATTCCAACCCCCCAAAACAAAAAAAATATAGGTATAGTGGTTTTTATTATTACAAATTACAATTTGTTGCAATATTGAACGATGAATTCTAAAGACATTAGACAAACTCCTTCTCAGTCACAAAAACCTGGTGCTACTCATGACTGTGAAATCCTCACTGAGAATTCTTTACAAAATATTGTAGACTTATCCGTTCACAAATCAGTTTCATCTGCAATTTATACTGCAATGTCTTCCATGCAAGAAGCATTTTTAGAATCTACTTTTGAATCCCCTGGCTATTCTAAGTCACATAAGAGGGGGAAGGACCAAGATCAAAACAAAATGCTTGTCTCATGCAAAACTGAAGAGTGCAATCAAACACTCAAAAGACCCTCTGCTCCATTCACAGGAGCAAACCTGCCTCCTATAAAACCTCCCCGAATTTTATGGCAAGACAGGAGGCTTCATATTTGCTTTACTTCCTTTACTGTTCCTCCCAGCAGCAAAGAAACAGTTAACAGATTGATAAAAGGAAACAACCAATCAGAACACATCTAGTCATTAATAAGTGGCTGTGAAACTCCTCCCAATTCCTCTTTCTTTGCTGCTTGCCTCCCAGGTGAGTCAATTCTGATTTCAGACCTTATAAGAATTTTTTATACATATTTAAATTTATTTACTTATGTCCATTATTTATATTGTTTTACCCCCTTTCTCCTGGGGCCGACCTTGGTCGGCCCACAGGACCATTTGCCCTTTCTGGGGCACTCAATACCCCTTGTGAGATCCCACCGAGGGTTATTCCCCTTTTTACACCACCCACGGCGTGTTTCTTGCCGACCGCGATTTAGCTGCGGCTTTGTTTACTTTTTCCCCGCTTCTCAGCCCGTGGCTTCCCTCCACCACCCACGGCGTTTTCCTCTCCGCCGACCGCGATCTGATCGCGGCTTTGTTTCTTGCCTGTCAGCTCTCACACAGCAGGGTCTCTCTGTACCTGCTTCCCGCGTTTTTTTCATTAAAGCGCAGGCTCCGCCTCTGCACTAGCCGGCGGCCATTTTCACTGTGCGGCAGTTTACCTCACTAACGGTTCTCTGCCTGTCAATTCTCTCACAAAGTGATATCACTCCTTTCGAATTTTAAAGGTGTATCTCCACTTCTTCTTTGCATGCCAGTTCCAAGGTAAGTACTTTTTTTTTTTTTTCTCTATCATATATACACATATTATTTGTTTTATTCTTTTATTTTATTCTAAAAATCCCCTATTTTACTTCACACAGGTTCTGTTCACAAACTTTAAAGTGTTTTTTTCCTGCCATCACCGACATCAGGCCAAACACTTTCTGCCACAAGGGTGACCCCCTTGCTAATAACAGGTGACCCCTGTTTTTTTTTTTGTGGTTACAGCGGTACCTTAAGGGCTCCGTTTGCTAACTAGCTTTCCATTAATTTGTGTCTCAGTGACATTGCAGTGGGCGACTCCACTTTTTTCTTTGCATCTTGGGCAACCCCCATTTGCTTGTTTGGGTGACCCCCAAACTTAACTATAAGGGTGACCCCCTTTTTATTCCTGGGTGACCCCCAGCTATTGTCAGGGTGACCCCCTGCCTTACAATTTTAAGTTTATTATTTTTGTGTTTCAAATTTGTTAATAATGTCTGAACAACAGGACACTGTCTCTGCTGAATTAAAATCCTGGCTTTTTTCAGCAATAGCGGAATCCATGCCCAAAGCTATTGCGGCTTACCACGAACAGGCTAAACCTGCTCCAAAGCCAACTACTGCATTAAATATTTCCGACTCAGAAGAGTCTCACGATTCTGACCATGACGGGGCTCCGCGCAAGCGTCCCTGGAAGGGCAACAGTGTCTCCGCCGGTAAAGGCAAGGCACCTGCAAAAAATGCTAGACTGTCACTTCCCTCCTCAAGCCTTCCATTATTGGATCCCTTAGAGGGTTCCACAGCACACGACCTACAGGTCGTAGACGAGTACTGTGCAGGGTACTCGGACGAAGAAGACCAGGGTAATACTAGGTATGTCAGGGAATCCTTCACCAAACCATTCGTGGTTAGCCCCATGCCCACTAATCCATCACAAAATAAGGATCCTTTAACTGACATCCTGCTGGATGGTAACGGCCAACCCCTTTTTGATCCTAGAATCATCAAACACCCCCGGTCCGCTGAATGGGCACCACCTAGCCATATTGCTCAATTCTGCAGAATGTGGCTCAGAAAACCGCTAGAGAAGGAGATCAGGAACAAATTACGGGCTGAATGCCCTCGACCTACAATTCCGGATAAGGTCGCCCTAACTCCCGAGTTTGATCCCCTCCTCATTACCTTCCTCAGCAAGTCAGGAAAAGACCCACGCAAAGGCCTGGAACAGGGCCTCAAAA